CGGTCGCATATATGACCGTTGCGGTGGCTGCTGTTTATCTTAGATCTTCACGGTCTGCTGTTCAGTTCATGACGCCTGAAGTTGTACCTTATCCAACAGTGCAGGTGCAGTGATCCCTTTTAAGTGTGTGTGTGTGTGTGCACATATAGAGGGGTTTTGGCCCATGTGTTTGCACACAAGATAGAGATGTCTAATATCATTTATTTATTGTTTTGTGAAAATCTGTGATAATAGTTTGACATTTTCTCTCTGCCATAAAACAAATAAACATTTAATATACTGCCTAGTGTTAATGTAACAGTAGTAAGTAGGTGCAGATTATTTTATGTCATTTTTTTTATGTTCATTCATTCAGAAGCAACATATTGTACAAATATAGCTAGTGTTATAAACAACAAAAAGGAAGCTTTAATACTCTTTTACAGTCTTGCTGTATAAGATTAGGATCAGCAATGTATGGAACTGTCACGGTGCCATAAAACATATCAGCAGACCCTCCCCGGGGACGTCAGTGACAACATTTCTCATGTGCTGTTTATAGAGTTGTAAATAAAACAAAGGCTTTTTCCTTTGTATGTCCCTAAGCTCTTGTCAAAAGCACAACTTGATTTGGGCATAAATTCCTGCTGACAGCCTCTGTGGAGCCGCAGCTGTTGTTGACAATAACCAAGCAGTTAAGGTGTGTATGACCATACCATAAAGGGTTTAAGTGGATTGTAGTATTACACATTGATTGCACTGACCATTTTAGAGCAATTATTGTACCATAATTCAAAGTGATATTAAGGGACAATTAGTGTCCTGCGGTTTTTTGCAGCAAATGACGTTCAAATTGATGCAAAATAGCAAAATGGAACCTAAATTGGAAAATCGTGGCTTTTACAATCTGATGAGTTGGCAATGAAAGAAAGAAGAGCTAAAAGTGATTAAATCATGAATAAATCATCTTCCGTTCAAGGGGAACTGATATGTGTCCTCTCGGCTGTAATCACCCATTTCCCACAGCTAACGGTGGCTATCCTGAACATTTAGTTAATTCTACTCCAGTAACCAACCTCTCTGCATTCACTCTGCAGGCCATAAAAGCCAATGGCAAGAAACAACAATTTGCACAAGAAAAACTCATTAGCTATCTCCAGTGTTTGTAGGTAAACACTGAGAGGGGCACAACCCCCAGATAAGGGAAAGGGCAGACAGTTAAAGTTTTCACAGTCCAATAAACCCCAGTTAATGCACTCCTGAAGAGCAGTTTGGGCCCCTACAGACGGGGGAAGTGTTTGAGTTGCCATCAAGGTCGAGATAATAGGACCAGCATGAGGCTACTGATTTTCAAAACTTTTTTATCTCATCTTGTTCAGTTTTGCCAACTTTTCCGACTGATGCTAGTGATAATGATGTCTCTATGACTTCGTCAAGCAAGACAAAGAAAACTGACATAACCCTTTTTCAGCTGAGAGTGATAACTTGGAACAAATCACAATGTTGGAAATCTACTTACTATAGGCATACCTGTACTCCACAGATGGAGCTCTAAAAGCTTTTTTTTTTGCGTCTCCACCATTTCCATTTGCATGACACATGCAGCCTAGTCCAAATACAAAATGAAGATTACACACACGCTTACAAAAGTCAATTCTGGTGTAAGAGCAATCCCTCAGGAGAATGTCTGACTCCTTCCTGCCATCATTGACAGAAAGGGGGAAATGGTTATGCGTTTTTATTTAGCCTTATCTCTAGAGTGGGGGAGCCACTAATATGGACAGAGTGCTTTTCAGGCAGCCAGGTCTGTTTGCACAGCTCAGGAGACAAAATGAGGACTTGATGGCTGCCCACTACCACAGTGCAATAATTCATGACCATATCTATGGCTCTAAAAGAGGAGTGTCAGCCAGAAGCACTGGAGAGGACTAGTGAGCAAACAATGAAATATCCCTCTTTAACCTTCATGTTACAGACCTTTCTGTCTTTGTTGGGAGGAATAAACACACTCACACAGAATCGGCCTCCTCCTAACAGTCATGTAAACAATGAGTGCAAGAGCCAAATTCTCATTTGGTTTCCAACACAGCAGCGATGCCTCATGCTATTCTGTTTCCCCCAGAGGACCGAAGATACTCCGCCGACAGCGGCATCACTTACACCATTTGTCTTTTCTGGAAAGCAGAGCCTACCAATTACAGCAATATCCCACCGACTGATGTGTTTATGAGTAAGCTGGCGATGGCAGCTTCAGGTAACTCTGATGGATGGGGAGACAGGTGTTAGGGGAGCTCGGGAAAGGTTGATGCTTTGATTCAGAGCTTCCTCTCGAAGTCACTACAAATTAGGGAATTCAGTGTGCTATTTATGTATTGAAATGATGACGATGAAGTCTTACTCACTTGCCCTCTATATTCTAGGCATCTGATTATGAGTAGATATTCCGTAAAGTTAAAGCGTCACACTACCAAACAAGATGAAGTTGTACTAGATGTGACTCAATGCATTCATGAGTCACAGCGGACTGGACAGAAGCTGTATATAGTATATTCTGCCCGCAAGCTGAGGAGATTTCAGGTCTCAGGAGGGTTGACTCAGGATCTCTTCCCAATGGACACCAATTACACAAAACATGAAATTTGCGTTTTTTCCTCATATCTGGGGAACTCTAAATAAAGAATAGGCTCCACGGTCCTACACGGTCCTACAGATGCAGCATACATACAAAAGCTCACCACAATCAATTCTTGTAGTTAATTACAGCAGTTGAGCCACATGTAACTGAACCGGTGTAGTCATCAATACCCTAATTAAACCATTTCTCATTGTTTTCCAGGACTACATACGTATGTGTTACTGTCCATGTTAACAAAGATTTTACAAAAGATTGCTTTTTTTGGTGAAGGGAAACTTGAGGAA